GTTGATTTTGAAATATTTCAATACATATTAATATTGAGCATTTTGAATTCGGATGATTTTGATACTTAATAATACCATTGTAGAACCTTATTCAATAGAAAACTAATAATGAATTAACTACAGACCAACAAATGAAGAGTTCCGATTTAAGGGCCAACCATTATATAGTCTACCCTAGCTATACTCAATTTACAGTTTTCCTCAAATGCGAAATCGTGAGAAATGAGGAAATTTTCTTATAGTTCGTGATCTTTGCCGTCATTAACATTGACATTGTTGTGTCGAATGAGTAAATGTTTAAGTAAGTACCTACCTACATAAACTTTGTACTTAAAGTAGTGTTCCAAGGTTAGTTAAGACTGTAACAGAGCAGAAAAGCATGAATCTAGCTATTCTGTCGTTGTGAAGCAAAAGATAACAACTATTTTTTTTAAACAAATGCGCAAAGCATACCTCATTCATATTCTCATTACCTACTCAGATTATTGCACACTTATTTTATACTTTTTGATACTCTTTGATAAGTTACTCAATGTTTTGTCTCTGTTCATCGAATGAAAAATGGCATTTGAGTGACATGAACAAAACACGGCGTACCTAGTCCAAGCTTATTCCTCCTTTATAAATAAGCGGTTTAATATTTATACCTACTCTTTTATACTTTCATACGTATTTATGTCATTGCTCAGTTTGGTATGTTCCTTTGTTCGTTCGCTTAATATACACTCGCGAGCAAAAGTTTGGAATCACTTACTTGAAATTGGTTCCGCGCGATCTTGCTTACTAAAAAAGTTTTTAAATATCATAAAAATGATCATCATTTTAAAGGTTCAACTGTGAACTTTAAATTGATACCAAATTCAATCAAAGCCACCAGTCTCGCGAAAGCGCTTGTAAAGTTTCGAAACACAGGACTGGCTTATGTAGAGCCGACGAGCGACAACTCGCTGGCTGAGCCCTTCTTGCAATAGGCCTACGATTTGTGCTGCTTCTCTAGGTGTTGTCTCCATTGTCGTACAAGAGGGTCAAAAGTAGCGGAGATGTGTACCAGTCAACGTGTGAAAGTCGACTGATAAAGAAAATCCAATAACAGGTGGTTTTATAGGGGGTCAATAGGTCCCGCAACTCGCGACGTATCAAACAATTGAAACACGTGTTTTCGTTATTCCTTCACTTAATGCGAGATAGCTTCTTAAATACTGCCTTGATTATAATGAATTTGGTATCGGTTTAAAGTTAAGAGTGAGATTTTTATGACTATTAAAAAAACATTTAGTACACAAGATCGCGCGAAACCAATTTCAAGTAAGTGATTCCAGACTTTTGCTCGCGAGTGTAGTTGTCACTGAAACCCTTATCCTGTATCTTATTTCTCTGGTTTACCGTATTTTACCAAGTAATCATAAGCTATCGTTAATGTATTTGGTCTTTCGAGCCGGATCCAAATACAGATCTCATTGAAACCTTTTCATCCACCACCACTCACGCTATTCCTATCTCGGAAAGCTGGTTAAAACACCGTCTTTTCTCTCTTTCTTTCACCTCCTGGGCACATAATCCTATACGTCAAAGAAGGCAGCAAAGAATGCTCTGTACTCTTCATTCCATCCTGCACAACCCTCACTCTCCAGAATACTTAAGATCCCGTTCTTTGTGATTCACACACCACATTCACATTCCACTTCCGTTCTACTGATACTCTTACACTACCTCTTTCTCTCTTTAATTCAGGCTATATGTCTGATCCCTTTGTTTAAAGATTATAGGACAACACCCAGCAGGTACAATTTTTTTAAGAAGAACGTTCACGTCTTATGAATATAAACAAAATATACTGAACTTACGCAGCAGCGAAATAGGCTATATGCATGTAATTTAAATGGGGCTCTATTTGTATATCAACTCTTTTACTTTCGAATTGTCCCTCTATCAATACTTTTTAATAAAAATTATCTTCGAGTAAGAAATTAATTATTGAAAAGTGCGATAAACTTATGGGAAATTCAAATAGCTGAAAAACAGCGACAAAGCAGTGGTGACGTAAGAGTACATAACAACAAATAAACAAACTAGCGCCGTGGGATATGTCAAAGTCAACGAGAGAAGGATAGATTTTGACGTCACACCAAGAGTTCCAGCGAGCGTATAAAATTCCTGTGCACAATGGCTATTTTAAAAATTTTTTTTTTGGACATAATTACACAATTTTTTCAATGTTGAAATTTTTTATAACATATTGAGGGAATGTAACCTATGCAATAAGTATATAAAAAAATAATCATGCATATTCTAAATTGTTATTTATGTTATATTAAAACTACTAACAAGATCCCTAATTCCAAATTTTTCAATTTCACTCCGGTAAGCTTATGTATATATATACTAGTGGCCCGCCCTCGCTTCGCTTCGGTGTAGAGCTGAAGTGTACACAAAAATTATCCTTATAGCATGATTCAGTATTCACGTGCGACGGCGCAATGGCTTATTTCATGTATAAGTTTGGTGTTTCTATACCGATTTCTATGATTCTTTTTTTATTGAATAGGTAATAATGTTAACTTTTTTAAATTAGGGATGAGTGAGAGTATTATAAACGTAAGAGTAAACAAATATAATCAGAATGCTCCGAACTGCTAAGCTATCAGGAGTTACACGTGTTATTGTGAGTCAACCATAAAAGATAGACATATGCTGTTGCAAGATATTTTTTAGACAATTTAATGTAGAATATTTTCGTCATACATGATTTCTATGTAACTTTAACCATTAAGGCTGCACACGCAACGGTAGCTAAAAAAATGGAGTAACTTCTCCCGTTTTCCCAACATTTCCCTTCACTTCTCTGCTCCTATTGACTGTAGCATGATGAAAAGTATACTATAACCTGCCCAGGAGTATAAAGAATAATTGTACCAAGTTTCGTTAAAATCCGTCGAGTAGTTTTTGTTTCTATAAGGAACATACACACAGACAGACAGACAGACAAAAATTTTATTGATTGCATTTTTGGCATCAGTATCGATCACTAATCACCCCCTGATAGTTATTTTGAAAATATATTTCATGTACAGAATTGACCTCTCTACAGATTTATTATAAGTATAGATTTTAAATTATGTACAATCAGCCAATGACAATTTTTAACAATCATTTCAAAAGAATAAGGTACATTTTTGGTTTTGAGGATGCACTTTTTATTAAAACACTTTTGAAAATCGTGGATTTATAAAGCAAAGAGGTCAGAAATTGTTAATAAAGTTAATAGGGTTTGTATCTTTTTAGACGAATACAGTACATTATCTGTCTTTCTGATAATCTGGGATTGTGCTTACCTATCCTACTGATGCAGAGGGAAATGTACGAATCCCTGGAAACAGTCTTGGTATTTTCTGAATAATCATATTTAAGAGGGGAGGCGGGCAGTGCTTTCCATACAAATGTTCTCGACTGATTCCTCCTTGATTTTTAACACTACAGAAATGATTTTCATACATAAATTATAAATTTACTCATTCTATGCTCCTGTCTTCTTCTTTTCGATACTTATATTTGTGTTTCAAACTAACCAGAAACCTTCAAAAATGCCAAAATAAACAAATTACCACCACTGAAGACGTCTTGTCTAGTGGAGATTCAATAAGCATTTACAAAAAAGCAAAACATTGAGGCCTAGTATTACTACTTATTATTACTTACTATGGGTAAAATTTCTTTTACATATATCTAATTTTCGTGGAGGAAATCATCGAGAGCCAAACCTCAAATTAAGCCAGTTTTTACGCAATTTTCAACGTTAGCTACTTTTATCCCTTTCGCACGGTATTTGCCATTGCGCGATAGCAATAGGTTTTTCAAATACCTATTTTTCAAGTCTCTCACCTCGCGTCCGCTCTTAACGTGATAGATCTTGCCGCCTTCCTGTGACATAATTTTGACGTAAATTATTTGGAGTTTTGTCCATGGACTAAGGATTTCCCTTTGAAATAGATGCGGTCATGTAAAATATGACTTCTAATAGATAAAAATAATTATATAATCATGTTTTTAATTGTTAAATGTTTTTTTGTTTATTTTAACATTTAGTAGTTACGGTCCTAGACCACATTCTTGTCCATTTTAGCGTTGATTTGCCTACTTTACTTGGATTTTACATACATTTTTTTATATAAACTTATTAGAAAGTTGCGAAAACAGAGTGAAAATATCTACATTGAAACAGTTAAATAGCTGCCAATTTAACCTGATAGAAGATTTTTTAAGTTTAATTTAATTTATGCTATCAAGCATCGGTATAGGAACTGGTCCATCAGGTTCAGGACTCGTACCTATGCCTACTACCTGCTCCGCGTGGATTTTTTTCTAGTAAAATTTCCTTTAGACATAAACATCTAGCAGGTAAATGCTTAAAAAAAATATAAACATAAATATATAATATATAATAAACTTAACTTATTTCAAATAGAGGAAATTGCACAACCACAAATAGGAACACTGTAGCTAAAGAGCTAAGATTTGTTGAATTCATAGATGATCAACGGAGGTAGCATATGAATGAATTATTTGAGCTAGTAGGTAAATATTATAGAAAAGTTTGAACAACTATGGCCTAACCGAGATTGAATCCACGATCAAAATATATGTAGGCACTTTAACTGAGCCCGATTATTTCATAATAAGTAATACAAAAATATGACTCTTACTGAAATTTAAGTGGCATTTATTTAATGTTGAGAACTCATTAATCGACTTAAATTATGTTAATTTTATTCGAGACGTATTTTATTGTTGTGGTAGGTTTATTATTATTCTAAGCTTATAAAAAAAATCAAAATGGCTGTGATGAAAATCCATCAGATTAATGATCAAAATATAAATATAATATGTAACGAAAATTTGTTTAAAACATGGGAATTGCTTCAATACCGCAGGCAAACAATAAAAAATTTCGAGTTTTCCTTAAACTTTTTACATGTAATACTTTAATGCAATAATGTGCTTACCATCTTCCATTATGATTCCTCAAGAAAAAAAATCAAAGCTAAACTCAACAAAACACTGCCCCGTTACATCAAAATGTAAACAATAAAAAAAATAACAGCGACTTATAGTTGGCCGAAGCACGGCGTGCGGCGTACGTCGTTTTCCCGCGTAAACATACGCCAACTGCGGAGGCGCGGCTCTCTGTAGAATCGCAAACAATTCATCACACCCCGCGCTTATCACCGGTCCTGTTAATACGTCATGAACTAGTAATGTTTTTTTAACTGTGACGTCAACGGTACAGTTGGCGTCGTAAGTGGTCAGTTCGTAAACATGTTGTACATATCAAAATTGTACAAGGGATCGATCACGTACGCTGCGCGATAATTGTCGCTGCCTTAAAACTTATTTTTATTTCCGAAAATTAACAAAGATTGTAAGTATTTTTTTGGCTATGTTATAAATTAAAACATTTTTGAACTGAACAAGATCCTAGTAGTCCTAGATCCCAACTAACGCGAGATGAAATAATGCTGCTTGAAAGTACTAAACCCAATTTAAAAAAAAGTCAAATGGTGTGAAACTTTAACATATTTTAGTAACAAAATTTCTCAGCGCATAACTTTTATGCCATCTGCCTGTACAGTCACTTTTCACCACAGAAATATATCGAATCTGTCTCGATGAGTTATAACTTAAAAAAAAGTAAAATTAATCCTTTATCCAGAAAATAAAAATAAAAGAGAAAACCCTTTAAGAATAACGTGCACAACTGTATCACATTTTACTTTGTATGTTAATGATTTGATTACCATCAAAATTAACATTCTACGTCAAAAAACAATGCAAAGTGACACTCATTGAGTGAAGGCATTATTTTAAGAATTAGTTTTTATTTTGATATGTATCTGAGATTCTTCCGTTTTCAGGAGAAAAATCTTTTTTTTAATGTTAAAAGGGTGGCAAACAAGCATGTGGCCCGCCTGATAATAAGCGACCACCATAACCTATAAAATTAACGCTTGCAATACAAAAAATATCGCTTGCGCTCTTGCCTACCCTGACCTTTTTTTGTAACGCAAGCAAATCCTCTGTTTACAGACGACGCGGCGACGCCGGTGCCTTTAGGAGGCACACCGCCGAACGGACCTCACACCCTGCACCCGCAAACGTCACGGGCACGATGGGGCTCATCCCCAAAGTAACCCGCGCCATTTACGAGCACGCTTAACGGCATACTATACGCTAAAAAAACCCTGCGAATACCCTCTAAGCTGCTTAGTGTGAAACCGCGGGATCCCCGTTTAGCGATTCTTCCGCGTTTCCACGCCCGACAGAAACACAACATCAACGAAAGGTAATGTTATTTTACTGTGATCCTTTGTAAGGTGGAAGTTACTTGCCCAGGCGAGTGCTCCAATTCAAGCGGAAAATACACCTACCTCTCTTAACCTTTTAACATAAATAATTATGGACACAAATTGTGAATATAAGAACTATACTTAATTTATGTTTTGAGAAACATTTTACGGTAAGTATAATTTCTTACTTATCGTGCATACTTATTCACTTTACTTGCTCACCAAACTATATTTTTATACAGAGTTCAAGTTCAAGTTAATTATAAAATTGTTTAAGCACTTAAGAAAGACTTTTGGGCGTAAAGGACATAACGGAATTTGTGAATCAAAACTATATAATACATGAATATACATGAGATAACTGCCAGTGTTTCTCAAAATATTACACCACGCGAATCCAAAATGTAAAATATCATATAAAATTAATTTAGCTCGTTTACGTATTTTCATTCAAATCTGCCAAATTCTCCCATAGCGGAATTATACCGCGATACCCGAAATTTTCAAAATCGGATCATTAGTTCCAGGGATTACTTCCTAAGAAAAACTTCTTCGCGAATAATTATGCCAGCCAAAAAAACATACTTAACATCATATATGAACAATTTTCGCTATAGTATAGTTATAACTCACTGTCTTCTGTTTTTATATATCATCAAAATGCATTAATCAAATTGCGGTTAGCAATAACTTTAAACTTAATAAAAAGAATTAGAATCATACACATGAACTATCTATAAAAAAAACTAACCAGATACCCAATCGATCACAATTGATCATCACTGTACCAGTATAAAAGAATTTATCATGGAATAAACATTCATAAAGTTATTGACATCAGAGTTGGTTATCACCAAATTGCTGACGCTAAACGGATGTCAAGTTAATAAACTGCTTAGTTATCTGAAAATAAAATTACGTACTTTGTCATAAGTAATTTTTATTATTTACTACACTACTGCAATAGAATTGGCAGCGATTGCTATTTCATAAAATAAGAATGGAGACAGAAACAAGATATTGATTTCATGACTATCCTGATTTTAGAGATGTGTCGTCTGTCTGACTTAACAGCTGCTCGAGAAAAAGCTTTAATACTAATAAATATAGGTATAATGCCATTTTGAACTACTTTTAGATGGACTAATAGATTATATTACTTTAAGGTCTCATAAATTATTATACTCCGACGATGCTATACTGCATTGCAAATATAGCTATAACAGAAATACAAAAAAAATGTATTTGAAAACTTATATAATGTAAAGTACTTCCGCGTGATGTCGCTAGAGACAAAGTTAGTTTATTTAAGCATTAAACAACTTGATATTGAATATAATATCGATTGAAAGCAGGTAAAACAATATAAAATCTCAAATTTACAGATACTAATTCCAGGCTAAATATACTTAAGTCGCATTATATTAATTGAAATCAAAACAAAAAACGTAAACAAGAATGTAAATATTCTGACACTTACCAAAGACCATGATATTTATCGAACTCCACACTGCACCATAAAGTTTGAAAACCACTGTTAAATTTTTAATCTTATTTCACCGTTTCTTATTAGCAAAATAATGTATTATTCATTTTATCATGCACTCTAGCATAGATCTCAACTCCGTACGATCAAATAATCGAATGAAGCTATTGCATAAGACCTTTAGGTATGAAAATAGAACATGAATGAGTACTAATTACAACGACGAGATTGGTGTCATGTGATTTTAGCAATAATTAAAATAGTAACCTGTTATTATAAACAAAAACAGTCTCAAGAAGACACGGTTTCAAACCATCTTTAGTAAAATCAAAATTTGTCAAATTTTGTATAACATTTTTTCTTAAACTTGTGATGAACGCATTTCTAGCCTTTTGTGGTAATAAGGAAAGTGTTGAATTTTCATGCATTCAACGAAGGACTTCCCAAATAGTTAATATTTTTTACTTTTAAAGCATTTAACTGCTAATGTTTAAAGGTTAGTGAAACGAAAATTTCTATTTATTTCCCAAAAATTTCATCTAAAAAGTATTTATTTTCAAGATACAATGTTTCAAAACATTTTGTAAAACATGTTTTTAAAATTACGTCACGTGAATGACACTGGTATAATACAGAAAACAATACTATAAATCTGCTCGGTGAACAGAATCAGATCGCACCTCACCTGAGCTTCTAAATATAATACTATGACAACGAAGTACATATTGGTTGAGCCATTTTAAATGAGACGATGATTGATATTTGGGTGTGTATAGTACGGAAAACATTCCATGCGAGCTTATCGCAAATAATTAATTCGTTGCTCATTAGGCAACAACACTGACCCTCATGACGCTGCCGCTGTGTACTAACCATTGCTGCTACTGTGGAACATAATTTGGTCAGAGGACACGGAGAGTCGGTAATGTATGCTGCTATTGAATGAGAAATCATTTTACTTAACTCTACCTCCTTCAATCCCAACGAAGACTTATTTATTGGAGAGAGAAAACGGATGGTATATGTGAGACAAGGCGATAAGTTTTATCCCCCTTATTTTTCTGTCTCTGTATGTATATTGCAAGTACTCGTCATTTGAAAAGAATTAATATTTCAAACAAAATATTTTATTAATTATATTAAATAAATATAATTATTATTTATGTATTTATAACAACGGTTGCTTTCGGTCGGTAGTCGAGAAGCGGGCGCTAAAAATGTGGGCTGTAGTAAAAAAAGTTTGAGAAGCTTTGGTTTAACGGTACTTTTGAAGAGTATAACAAAACAGGTCCGAAAGCGAAACTACGATATTGGCATGATTTACATAACTATGTATGTGTCAGCCGTGGATCAAGTTATCCAAAACAATTAAATTTTTCAAATGACGACACTTTAGATAGCTTGTTATAAAATTGATAATCGATTATGAATTAAGGATACGACGCGTGGAGTCCACTTTTTAAAATAACTGCCTCTGCACATGACCATTAATGGTTTTGACCACTTCTGCTTCTTCTTACGACTACATCGTAATATGATATGACTGTTTCTGGATTTGATCATTTTGTTTTTGGGCTACTTTCAGTACAGTGTACAAAAGGATTAAAAAAATAAATATATAACAATATGTGCGGGTTACATTACTGATGTGATAGAGTATTGGAGTTATTTTTTTTATGGGTTACTTCTTGTCGAGTTACGTTCACACGTCAAATAAAGTTGCGTATTTTTGCACACCTTAATAAAGATAGTCAAATTATAAGGAAGTGCTCAAAAGCAGAAATAGTCTATTAAGAACTAGGCTTTACAAAAAGTGATCGAATCCAGATTACTAGAAAAAAACTAATGAAGAAGTGGTCTCCTAACGTCAAACCCACATTTATAACTTTGTGGCAATTCGAAGTGTGTTGATTATATCTTATTAAAAGGGCTTTATGTATCCCAGATCTCACTCTCTCGCAGACATGAGTATTGTCTGTCATAAAGAAATGAAACTTTAGATTAAGGTCGCATTACGTAGTTTCACCAGATTAGGTCTGAAGTTCTATAATAATACAAAAAAACTGCAGGCTAGCGACCGTCATGTGCGCATGCGTCTAATTAATCGTTGAGAATCAAGATTACGCGCGGAAGCTTCTGCTATCCTCTCTAGCTTTTGAGTTAATTTGTCAATTCTTCATCATCATCAGCCTATTAACGTCCCCACTGCTGGGGCACAGGTCTTTCCCGGAAGGAATAAAGAGTACGGTGGTACTTGCCATGTACCACCACGCAGGTCCAGTACGATATGGTGAGTGCTAAAGACTGCAAATACGGTTAGGTCGGGACCATTCGGCTATATGCACCTTCCGAAGCAC